TCTCATGATGCATGCTTATCAAATCAGTGGAAGGAGGTGTGGTTGCAGTAGTTTAAATGCTGATAAACAAGGCATGTAGCAGTGCATATTGATGTAGGCTATGTATAAAATGAAATGGTATTGTCTATGTATTGCAAAGTTCTCAAGAAGTGCTAGTTTCCATCACATAATTTGTATATGTGCAAAGAAATAACTTGTTACAAGTTTTTTTTTAAATATTGTCTGGCAAATTTGTGTTTTGTACGAGTGCTTTTTGCAACTTTAATTCTTTTCAGTTTGACTAAGCTATGAATAATTATATGGGTTGTATGACAGGGTAGAATTTTCATCTTTGGTGAAATCGGTTGTGGTGACTGGTGGAAATAGTTTTATTGCCTTTCAAGTACAGCTCATTCCAACTTGTGGTGGTTTTGTTGCTGGCTTTTTTTTTTTTTTTCCAACTCACTGAGTAAGGTTTGGGTTACCTAATTAGCTGCTGGAAGAAATGTTAGGTAAAAGATTCTCTAGCTGTATTCAGCAGGTACTTGGTTGATATTTTCTTTCCAATATTCACAATATAAGACACTACTCTTGCATACCAGTTTGTTTGGTGGGGTTTTTTTGGTTATGTCATTCCAGAATACACATTTTTGGAGTATCCTACTTAGTCCCATTCCATTTCATGTTGCCAGAAACCAGCCTATTCAGATTTTCTTTTAAATAATTAGTGTCTCTTCTTTACAAAAATGATCAATAGGGAAATCATATTTCTCCAATGTGAACATCAGCTTTTGAGTCAGCAAATCAAATATTCAGTTTAATATAGCTGAATATTGAACTTATGTTCTAAATAATAGTGCACGGTTTACTGTAGTTCTATATTTGTATTTGGATTTCTGGCAGAAGTGTGAAGTTGGATTTGGGTCCAATCTGTAAAGTGCTGAGTGTTCTATGAGTGTCACAATACCTACTTTATATGATTGCTCTAACTCCTGGTGTTCATCCTTCATATGACACTTACTATGTACTTTCATAAGTTTATTTATTGATGTTCCATGTTTTTAAAGGAAGTGTTCATTCATGTGTTTGAGGTGATTAATTTTGTCAGCATTGCATTTATTATGTTTGCCTTGCCCCTCAGTACATTGAATATTTGTGTTTCTGACCATCCAGATTTTTTTGCAGAATTCCTAGGTTTGTTCACATCTTATTTGGTGTATTATGATTATTTTAAAATGTCAGTTGTTTTAATAAATGTAAATCACCACCTAATGCTAATTTACCACTTGTTAACAATAAAGCAAATATGCCAACAAAACTTTTTTGTGATGCACACATTTTTGTAGCCAAATGTGAAATTGTCTTAAATAAAATTGTGTAGCGATAGGTAACATCATTTCAGCCTTATGAATATTGTGATGTCTTTGATCCAAGTACACTAGACCTGATGTGAGGACCATCTACTGTCTTCTCCTAGTGACTGGGAGACAAACAGTTATTCTTTTCAAAGGACAGGTTTTTTTAATTTATTTGTGAGATGATATTTGGATTTTTCAATCACCATGAAAAATACTCTATCGCAGATATTTAAATCGGTGTTATCAGCTTATATAAAGTTAATTCTGTATCTCTTCTTTTCCCAACTCTATTGAAAATTTAGTTTATACAGAGCCTATAACTGTGGTACCTGCAGTAAATATTTCTTTTTTTTCTTTTTTTTTTTTTGTTTTGAATAAGGCTGTAAGGCATATTATATAACCTAAGCTTGATCTGGGCTTATACTCTTTCACGAGAATAGAGCACTGTTTTGTTGCTTAAACGATTAAGCAGGAAAAAAAGCAGAAGTTACATCTTTCCTGTAAAGTTCACTTATGTGAGCAGAAATCGTAATAAGGGCTTGGTTTCCTGATTGTTTTTTGCTAAAGATGGATGAGTAGAGGCCAATTCCTCTTTCCTTTCCTCTTTTTAGGGGAAAGTTCCTCCTAGTGGGCTCTTCTGTTTACTTCACCACACCCTCTTCTGAGGAAGGCAGAGATGTTTTCCCTTCATTCCGGATGAAATTCATTTGTGTGCCAAGAGTGCAAAATCTCTTGTCACTGCTGAGATTCTGTGACAGCCCTCATGCTGGATTTCTCTTTATTCTAGTTCACCATGAACCATTCCAATCAGATAGCAGGTGAAAACAAACTAACAAACCCAACAAAAATCTAAGTAGCTGCTGAATGAAACGTACCATAAAGTCAACATCGCTTTTGCTCAGCCCAAAGCTGAAGAGATGGAACTGGAAGAAAACATATAACCAGCCAGGAGAAGTTTACTCCTGCATCTTTAGCTAAAGAACTACAGGTGTAAAGACCTGTTTGATGGTGTAAAGTGAGATTTGAACATTTTCTTCCAGCGGCCTTCCTTGATCTGGCTTCCTAAACACTAGTAATTCTTCTGTTTCATTATAAACCACAGAGAACCTAACTCGTTCTTGCTGTTAGAAATGTGCAACATTATCTTGCTCACAGGGGTTAGTCACCGTTTTCTGCTTTCTTATAATTTCTTGCAAAAATAGTACTAAAATTCTTTTTACTAATTTAAATACCTAAGTTGTCTTCCTTTGCCACCTTTCCATAAATTCCATGTATTTCTGTATCATGGTTTTGACCTACTCATGTTCCTTCTTTGCAGTGACCAAATAAATAAATAAATGAAAGTGGCAGGGAGGTAGGCATGGTGGTGATACCCTGCAAGGTTTTTGTCCCTTCGCCCATTCCTGCAGAGCAGTTTATTGTTGTGACATTTGTAATTTCAGGAGAGACCAGAGAAGGTTCTCAAGTGGAAGGAACAAATCAAAGAGCACAAGTCACTGCAGTTAGTCTTTGCCTGTAAGTGGTGACTCAGTAAATTTGTCAATAAGAATCAGGCAGGTAGGATATTTAGTAAGAGGAAACAATCAGAAAACACTCATAATTTCATAATCACTAATTTTTTGCTTTCGATCTAACCTTGGTCTTTGCCCAGGGTAGGCCTGAAACTGCTTGATTTGCCTCAAGATTTAACTTGTGGGCAGCTGCTAAAGTAATTTAAGCTGACTGAAATTCCAGTTATGTAGTAGCTAATACTGCATCTCTGTGTTTTTCTTTTAATTCCCACTGAACTTTCCTTGCCAAGTGGTTATTAGGAAATAAATCTTGGCTTTTGACTGTTCCTGAATTTCCAAAGAAAAGCAACTGTTCTTCAGTCTCAAAGTCTCCTGGAACTTCTTTCAGTAGAAGGGATTTCCAGAGAAGTCCTTACAATATTGCTTACATTCTTTTATCTGCAGTATGCTATTGGGAAATCTGTTTCCCTTTTCTATTACACAGAAGTTGTGTTGGGTTTTTTTTCCCCCAGTGTTTGGAGTTAAAGTGGTAATCTCTTACATCAAGAGCTAGACAGAATATGTGAAAGTCTCAGTCACAGTTTTATGAGGACACTGCTCCTACCTCAAGAAGTCTCTTCACCATACATAGATGGGGGGCTGGTGAGGATTTATTCCAGGAAAGCATAACAGTATGTTTGCTTTGCTCTTAACCTCTTCCCTCACCACTAGCAGTAGGGTACACTGGGTTTCATGGATTCAGTACAGCAGATCTTATTCCAGTCAAAGGAGATCCGCACACTTCTGTGAAGCATATTCCACCATTTTTTCAGCTCTTTGTTCTGAATACCAAATTTTTTTCAGAGTAGTTCCAAGGAAAATTTCATTTAGCACAGATAAAACAATATATGGTACCTTACTCTGAACCAGGAAACAACAGGCTGACTTAAATAAGATATCCCAAAATGTTTAGTCCAAGGCAGATACCTGTTATGGAAGTGTCTACCTAAACTGGCCAGGGTCTAAGCAACTAAGAAATAGGTATTTTATAATGGGAAGTCCCAAACAGCTGGAGGTGACATTACCAGCTGTGCTTTTAATGACTAGCTGTGAAACAAAGCTAAAAAAAGAAGTAATGACACCCAAGAAGTCAACAGCCCAATTCCACAGAAGACAAATGTTTTATTACCAAAAGAGTTATAATATCAAAGTAAGAAACTGCAAAAGAGTTATAAACAACTATAAAAATACTTCTGTATATCCAAAATTAAATATGAACACTTTATTAGATAAATGCCAATATATTATTCTCTGAAAATATTCACACATTTAAAGTCATGTTTGTCTAACACGTTAAACACATTATATAAAATAATTGCATATAAGAAATCACAATCTGAAGGTAAGAAATTCTAGCTCCTCCTGCAGCTAACTCTAGGATAACCAAATACATAAGGCTAGTGCCGTTTCCAGTCAGCTGAACAAACGTATATTCGTTCAGGCATCATCTTTTTCGCCTTCCCTAGGTCTCAGTGTCTTGCCTCTACTTCAGCCAGTAGAAGTGTGCTACATCTCAAAAATCAGTAGCCTTCCTAAGCTTTTCAAAAAGTTAATCTTTTCCCTGTTTTTCCAAACCTAAGTCAGTTTGCAGACCCATTAGATAACCATGCTGAAAATATTAATGCATCAGCAGAACAGACCCAAGATCAGCTGCTTATTTGGTAAATGGTTCCTTTTGGTCCTTGATACATTTTATATAGATATAAAGAAACCAGCTACTTTTCCATAATGTTTTCTTCACCTGCAGCTAGTAAGATGGTTTTATAAATTGCAGTAGACATGCAAGTAGATCACTTTCATATGATGGTATTATAAAGTTACTCAAAAGATCAGAAATTTCAAAGTAGTTTCCAGAGCACGAAGGTGGGACACAGACCTCTGCAGAGTTCTTTGTTTCAAACACTGGGCTTTTATTTCCACCTCTTGGACTTCAGCAGCTTGGTTTAGCCGTTTCTGTTTATTCCATCTCCAGGAACAAGGTACAGTAGCTTTCCATCAGAATTCTGGCATTAAGTGTTCATATAAGCGAGCAGAGTTACTCGAAGAATGCATATAAAATGCAAAGATACCAACTAATGCCATGTCAAATGAAGAGAGCAGGATTCATCTAGAATCACCTGGAAATTATTTTTTCAAATTTATTCCAGCAGGATCGAAGGCTAGATATATTTTCTTTCAGTTCACAAAATTCTTGGTTACATTTGGTTTTGGACTGTTCACCTGTTTCTGTATCTTCTTTATTGTATGTATTTACTTGCGTGCAAACCTGAGAAAATAAGTTTCTATTGTTAATTGAGAAGTGCTTATTCTTTCCACATGACCATCTTTTAAAACAAACTGATGCCATGATATCTCAATAAATAATGGTGGCACCTTGCATGGTAATTAAGCCAGAAAGCTGGGCTACTCGCAAAACGTGCCGTGGCAGTACACAGCCTGCATCCCTCTGATGTTCTCACTCTGAGCGCAGCCTTGCTGCTGCCCCTGCCCACTGGACTGGGAGTTTATGGCTTTAACACACAGCAAATATGGACAGCTGAAACCAGTGTGTGCAACCGAGAACATGTACGTCTTCTGTCAGTGGTTTAAAATTTATCCTCCATTATTTGAAGGACTGGAAAAATAAAGCCAACTAAATTGTGAGACAAACTTCAAAAGATATGACTAAGTGTGTGGTATCTTGAGACTGGCAGAACAAGACAGACCTGTTCCCAGGGGTTGATGTCATGATCTAGTGTTCAGAATCTTACCCAGAGACAAGAAGACCATAGTTCTTGTCCATGACTGGTCATGATTTTTACCAAATTACTTTAACTGATCTTTAAACAAAACCAGACATCCATGGGGTTAGTCAGGAGGTTGCAGGGAGACACTCTGACTTCTATGGCTTAACTGGGATACTTTTATGATTAGGCAAAAGTTGGATTCACCACAGGTGGATAAGCAAAATATAGACACCAACATTACTTTGGAGATCTGGTCCTAGATTATAAGTTTCTCCATTTCAAGAAGAAAAATAATTAGTTAAATGCAGCCTTCAATCCAACTATCTAAGCCAATCATAAAGAATTACATGCTGTGGGGCATATGGGGAGGCTTTTTGATGTTGGTCAATATGTATGTGTTAAATAAGTAATTGTGAGCCACACCAGAAAGAACACTCTTCCTTTGCTATGGTAGTCTGTAGATCATTGTGCTAGATTTGAGTGACACATCAAAGAGCAGATTCTGCCAATGACTAAAAATCCAAGTATTTTCATATCTAACTGTTCTTGTTGAGTTTGAGATATTGCGGTTAAAATAAAGACCAAAGGGATTATGGAAAGGAGAGAAACTCCCACTAATTTTTTATCGAAGCAAACCAAACACTAGTCTTAGGGTAGAACCCCCATGAGAAGTAACAACTATGACTTTATACATTAGAGAAGTTAAAGTGTGGTCTTTGTCTTTTACTGGAGAATTAACTCAGGTATTTCAGTATTCAACCAGAGTATATATCTTCACTATAGACTTCCAGATCATTGTCTTATTTAGTCTTCACACTGGACTCAATCTCTGTTTTAATTACAAGACGTAGGCTGTACAGATCAAAATTAATTATGCGTATAACATTTGTGTGATAGCTGTGCCTTTCAGAGGTAGATACGATAGTCTGTGTTGAAGAGCTCTAAGGAATAAGTCACATGCTCCCAATAAACTGTAGACTCTATCACTATCACTCACCTTTTCTTTTCTATGTCTTTCACATTTGCACTGCAGAACCTGTAATGTCCCACATGAGACTAATGCTGCTTTCCATCGAAAGTCTTTGCTGATTTTTTGCTTATGAAAGAATTTCAGCATGTTGCACGCCATACTCTGTAGTGATTCTATTTCCTGTGAAGAGAGCAAGAAAAATACGTCCTGAAAAGTCTGTGCACCATTAGTTCTTTATAATGTTGGTTCATCCTTTAAAAAACTCCATCAGTTACCATTAGTTTCTTTTGCTTCCCTTGTGCCTGTCTTTTCCAATAAAACACACAACTAATCTGACCTACCTGCCATCTCATCAAAGTATTTAAAGTATCAATTTGTAGTAGTAATGCTAATAACATAAGGATGTTAGAGAGAAATCACAGCCGTACTGAAATGAGCTGATACAGCTAGGAAAACAGTGCATGACTTTTGGAGTCAGTCCTTTTATCAAGTCATGATGAAATTTGTAGCAACAGCTGACAATCGTGCTTTCTGTCATTTGAGATCTGCCCAAACTATCAATTTTAAAGCTTTGAGATCTGAAATGAAAAGCTTAGCTGATGTGATTTTCTGTAGAAAAATGAAAACAAATGTCAGAAAATGTTTATGTTTACTTCCACTGGCAAAATAAAATAAGCTTTATGTACTACTTTGGATTAAAAATATAAAAGAATCTTTATAGTAGAAAAAAAATTGGTTATGGAATTGCTTAATATTTTAATTTTTTAAATCAATTTATTTGACAAATTATGTGATTCCAAATTCAAAAAAGGAACAACTCTGAATATCATTATTTGACTATTAAAAGGGAATATTACTCTCTATCACAATATGTTATTCAGGGACTGGACTGTACAAAGAACCCATTTGAGTTTGTATTCTCTAAAGTAAATTCTGAGAAGTTAAATTTTACCTGAGTATCATTGCAGAAAAACACTTTGCTATTTTCATGTTTTTTATTCTTGCAGCACCTGTCACGATACTCTGCAGACATATTTACCTGTAAAATATCATATATGTTTAAACATGAAAGTTCTTTCAATCAAGTGAGCCAAGTTTCTCACTAACAGCTGGCGACGTCAACACAAAATTGTTCTGTAGCATCTCAGGTGCTGTAGGGTCAGTGTACAGTTCTGATCTTTTCTTGGCAATCAGGCAAAGAAAACCCCAAGCCAGCTACAATTTCTAAAGGTGTATACAGAATCACATGTAATCACAGAATGGCTGAGGTTGCAAGGGACCTCTGGAGGTCATCTGGTCCAACCTCCGTACTCAAGCAGGGCCACCCAGAGCCACTTGCCCGGGACCATGTCCAGACAGCTTATTAATATCTCTATGGATGGAGACTCCACAACCTCCCTGGGCAACCTGTGCCAGTGCTCAGTCCCCTCACAGTGAAAAAGTGTTTCCTGATGTTTGGAGGGAACCTCCTGTATTTCAGTCTGTGCCTGTTGCCTCTGGTCCTGTCACTGGGCACGACTGAGAAGAGGCTGGCTCCATCCTCTTTGCACCCTCCCTTCAGGTATTTCTACACATTGATGAGATCCCCCTGAGACTTCTCTTCTCCAGGCTGAACAATCCCAGCTCTCTCAGCCTTTCTCATAGGAGAGGTGCTCCTGCCCCTTAATCTTTTTCATGGCCCTTTGCTGAACTCTCTCCAGTACCCCTGTATTTCTCTCGTACTGGGAAGCCCAGAACTGGACACAAATCTATCCATTTTAAACCTTCATATTCTATCAAATTACCTGGTTCTTTGGCATTTTAAAACATAGGGAAATATTTAAATCTGGTACAAACATCAAATATGTTTGTCAATGTTTGCCTCAATAAATACATGCCTCAGGCATGTAAACAGATTGCAGCACTCACTTTGCATGTGCACTAACAGTAGATGTCCTAAGCAATATCACTTACTCCCTTTGTGTGACCAAAATATTTTATCAATAGTTTATTCTCTGTTTTTTTTTAAATTTTTACTTTCATGCTTGTCATTGACATGACAACTGAACCCGACTGAACAAAATTCCTTCACTTTCTTCTTCAGCCTGTATCCAGATAACCTAATACAACCTGAAGGGCTTAAAAAAAGGCAGCTCATGACAGTATTGTGTTAGATCCCCTCACTTAGGCATGCATACGAACACATTAGACAACTTAATTCTTACAGTTCTTCTGCAGATTTTTGTGCAACGTTGCCTGTACTTCAATTCATCCAAGATGATCAGAACTTCATCCAGGAAGTTTTTTCAAAACCAAGAGTTTAGAGAGTCAAATATTCACTGACAAAAAACACCCCTTCTTCCCCCCCCTGCTTTTGGAAGATAATGCACATCTCTGCTTCTACCACAACAGAATAAGGTTTTGCTGCAGTCACACAGTACCAAGATTTTAAAATAAATAAAAAAATAAATATTCACCCTAAACCCTATCTGTCTGTGGCTCCATTTGGTAACTGCCAAGAGATTTACCCATTCTAATTGACTTCCTCAGATCATCTTTAGTATAACATACAGGAACCATTTCTGATGGCAGTTTATTGGCTGTGACTAAAGCAACCTAAGGGAAATCCTGACCTCAGAAAAGGCATCAGTGAAAATCACATTAACTTATGGGGGTCTAGTATATAACCCAGTAGTCATCTCCATAACTGCCTCAGGCAGGGGGACTGAACGTTACTGACTTTGGCTCTGTGACTGCCAGAAAGGGCCCAGTGGGCAGTTACTATCACACAAACAGTCCATAGTATCTGCTGTTAAGTTATAGTGACAAGACTACACACCAATTTTACATAGAAGACAAATGAATCTCTCTTAAACTGGGAAAAATAAAGACAGGAAAACAAAGAAACTTGCACAGTAGTTGCTTGTGCATGCCTATTCTAGGAAGTAGAAGCTTCAGAGTTTGGTACATTCCCGTTACTTTTCACAAAATTAATTCATTAAGGTTTTATTCATTTATTTATTTATTGACTTGGATAACAGTTTTAGTTCTCATACAGTCTCCTAAAAAGCTCTGTAATATTTATTACAATAAAAAAGATAGACTTTCAAAATGTATCTGGAAGAATGGCATTGCTCCATTCAAGTCGTTGATGACACCCAGGGACACGGGGTGCATCAAGCTTCATCCTGCAATTGGGCAGTGGCAAGGCATTAGCACCTCCAGCCTGGGACACCCCCCAGCTTCCTTGACCCTGCAGCCTGGGTAGGGCTGGCATGTGCCTCATGGCTCTCCACCACAGGAAGACAGCAGGATCTGCCTCCCAGAGGCTGTTATTCCTGTCATATTGTTTTCTCTTATAGGTCAGCTATCTTGTAACTGCTCACAAAGAGGGTTTATTTTTGTTCTCTAGGAAACATGGGTCTTTGTCAGCTGACAAGCTCAAAGAGCGACTTATCTGTTCTAATATGGTCACGAATACTTTCCCCAACTTTGGTGTCTTATTCAGGAAAAAGTCATTTACCTATGGAGAAGTACCTTTCTCTCTTCGTAATCTCAACAAGCACAACATGATCAGAATGTTTTTAAAGATTAAATGCTTGTTCACTGACACTAAAGGTGTTCTGTTTCCAGATGAGGGCTGATGTGTCTTGGTATAGAAAGGTTGGAAACCACTGGCAAAAGCTCTGATCGTAAGTGTGAAGAAATACAATGGCTCCTGATTTCACCTTTGGAAAAGCATCATATCTCACTTGTATTTCAGGCAAATAGATCTTGATTTAGGACTTCGACAGAATGGTGAGTTCTTGTTTAGTGACAAACTGTCAGAAAAATCCCATTTTCATAGAAATGCCTCTGCTAATCCAACTGTGGAAAGTGCTTTCTCCCGTGAAAGTGTTCTTGACAAATACATTTAATTGTTACTAATTCATGATGAAGAGTAGGAAGGTAGGTTTTGGGCGTGGACTGGTAAACTGTTATGATACTATTTTGCAAAGCTGTAATAAATCTGGCTGATAAAGCCATAATGGGGGAGATTTACAACCACAGAAATCAAGTTTTTCTCTGCTACTGTCTAGAAAAGTTGATTCTTTGTTGGCTAAACAAGATACCAAGATACATTAATAGGTAAAATACAAAGAAACTTTTATGGTCATATGAATTTTGTGCCTCTGTGAATTTTTATTCAATGGACAACATAAAGCTTCAGTCAAGAAGTGTACAATTAGTAGAACAAATTACAGGTTGCGTAATGCTTTCTTCTCTTGGTAAGAAGATATAAACATGAGTAATCATGAAATTACTTCAGAAAAGAGTACTTTAAAAATGTAATATATTATACTATTTAGGGCCAAATAGTACATGTGTCTAACTACCTGGTGCACAGGCACAAACACCTGTAACACAGTATTTGTACATGCAAATAGGCAATGTCCACGGATCTCCGAGATTATGGAGACTGAATTATCTCACTCCCTCAAATAAAGCCACCATTCCAGGATAATATGTGATTTTTAAATTGATCTTTTATCGTATGTTAATGTTAGAGGTTTTTTAAAATTATTATTTGCTATTATCTGAAAACAATCAACATTTTTTGAAAACCCAAGAGCTATTACCTACCAGCTCATCAATGTCGTGGCTTAGTATATTCTCATACTTCACACGGATTTCAGCTGGTTTATTTCCCATTGTGCAGCTGGATGAATTCACTGGAGACAGAACAAGGAACACTGGCAGAACCCGAAAGATAGATCTAAAAAAGGCTGGATTACAACAAGAGCAGTTAAGTACATATTAAATGCCATAAAGTGTATGCTGTATTAACACCTATATTCTTAATATCTGTTTATATAGTTTAAAAGAGATCTTTGTATACCCAAGTGACTTGTACCTTGAGGGAAGGAGGGAAGGATTCAGATCCAGATTAAGACACTATTTGGGTGTTTAAAATCCCTCATCCTCAAGGATGATTTAGCCATTGCAGTTAAGAGCCTACAGCTATTGAGCCGATCAGGCACTTGGTGTCTGCTTGGGCTGAATTCATCTCCAGGCTTCACGGCAAGTGTTGATGAGGTACCTCCACTGACCATAATTGGACCATAACCACCTAGTCCATTTGTAGACAGGTAAGTGTCTTAGGTGTAGACATTCAAGTGTCTTAATCTGCAGCTGAATCCCATCCTAATTATCAATTTTTTTCATATGAAAAATTCTACAAATGCCCATGAACACACCTTACATCAAACTTGTATTGAAACACATTTTCAGGCTGACCAAACGCGCAAATCCATACTAGCAGCCATAACATGAGACAAGGTGGCAATACACACTTCTCTGCAAGATTTTTGCAATCTTTTGGAGCAAATATCACTGCTCTTCACTTTATTTCTTCCTTCAGTGGACCATCTTGCTTTGCTTAGACACCTGGTTTACCGTCCTTTCATGACATACAGGAAAATATGAGTCTTCTGAGGACGGGCAGAGAGAAAAGACCAAAATATCGAAAGAGCCTGAAGGGACTGTGAGGATAACTGGCGGCTACAAGTGACCGGCCTGATGCTGGGAATGAGGGGGACTTGATACAGGATGATATTTGGATTAGAAAACTCATAACTGGACTTGGAGCTACAGCTAGACTGGTTAGGATGATGCTTAAATGGAAGATTTTGGAAAAAAAAAATAGAAATTTAAGTTGGAGGATTAGCAAGGATCACAGCAGGTTCCCGGACTAGTATGAGTTGTTTCTACCCATCTCTGCTATCAGTAAGCACAACAACTGCATGCAGAGTAACTGTGGGGTTGCAGCAGGAAAGGCAGAAGGGATGCCCTGACCCTATCTGCTACTTTCCTTCCTCTCCAGTGAGAATGAAAGCATTGGGTACAGCCAGTCCAACACCCAGAGATGGGCATCTCTGGGCTTGGGAATCACTAGTAAATCCCAGTCTCAGAGAGAAATCTTGAATCACTAAGAAGAAAGCAATTAAACTTGACCATATCCTTTACTGAGGCACCTAACCTCCGTGATGCAAGAACCGCGCTCACACCACGTGCTCATCTGTCATTCGCAGAAACAGTTCCTCCCAGCCCATCCTAGCTGATTCCCACAGCACGCTGCTGCTTCGAAGCACAGTGCATCCTGCTTTTCCTGACTACCAAAGCACTTTTCTGATAGATTACTTGTGAACACACTGTTATGTACACTTCTGTCATAGAAAAAAGACTGGAAAATTTTTATCTACAAGCTGAATTCCAAAAGTATTCTTGTGGCAAGCTGCCTGCTAAATTTTAATGGGAAATTTGATGGCCTGAAAACCAGATTTTCTAAGCTTTTCATATACGGATCAACAGAGGTCTATTGTCATCTCAGAAAAATCTAGCCTGAAGAGCAAAATGGATCCTAAATGGATCCTACATGTAGTAAGTATAAAAACTGGGTAAGGCAAATCTATTATGATCTTCAAACTCCAAGTGGACACCTGAACTCCCCAGAGCTTTACCTGTGTAAATCTCTGTGCTAACTATACCTATGCCAATTATCAATTTGTAGGACTGAGATTTAATATTTTAAAAGAAGTTTACAAAAAAATGCAAGAGCTCAATTAGAGGAAAGCATTTTTCCAATATACCATTTCAACTCTTGATTCCAGTGCAAGAAAAGGACTGCAATACTTGTTTCCCAGTAACAGTGATACAAGCAACTTGGATGTGCTACATCAAAAACATGCTTCAAAAGATACAAGTAGCGATCTTCTAAATTAGAATCAATCTAACAGATTCCCTCACTTAAAAGTCGGTTTGTCCAGCAACAAGTAGGGATAATACGTGAAAACTGAGAAGACACTTCTATTTCTTTATTTTTACTTTCTCTGTATTGTACAGATTGTGATTTTTTTTTTTAAATTAGGAAATGACAGAATCAAAGCAGGTAATTCTGAAAGAGATGTTGCATACTCATGAAGTGCCTTGATCGCGGGATCGCGATGAAACCTGCTCAGCCTATTCCTAAATGAATTCTCTGGAACCCATTAGACAAATGTCATAAAAAGTTTCCGGAGCTTTGGACTGAGAAAATAAAGGATTTTTCTTAAAGTTGAGTAACTTCTAAAGAAGTGGAATTGATAGGGCTCCATTTGACCAGCGCTTCAAAAGAAAGGGAGCGCGTATTACTGGTAATACCCTATCTGTTCAGTAAACTCCAGAATACTCGTAAGTCATAACTGGAAAGCCCCAAAAAATTCTCCCAGAAAAGCCGGGAAGAGTTACTATTCCAGTATTCTCAAACATTAAAAAAGCCCCTCTTTTTTTTTTTTTTTTTT